CAGCACGCAGTGTGTTACGAATGACAATAGCTACGCCACCATGGCCGTCAGCTCTAGCTTTTCGAAACACACTGAAATGATCTAGGCCAGCAAAATCTGAATCTGTCATGAACGGCCTATCGTGTGTTTCAGTAAGAACAGTCACATCGCTACCTGAGCAAAACAGTTTAACTTCTTCTCTTTTATTGTTAACGCTTCGGATCATAATCATCAGATTAAATCATAACACATATCAAGCTCCAAACTTTCAGAGAATCTCATTCTTTATAGAAAGTCAGAAAAATTGCCGTTTTAAACATAATGTCAGAGTCAGCCCTCAGTCGGCTGTCCGTGGGGATCTCAGCGAGGAAGGGCGGTTCCGTGAGGCATTCGCAAAAATGGCGATGGAGCGGAATCAAACCGCTGGCTACCGAGTGTGTGATCCACGTAGCCATGCCACTGTGCCATCGCCGCTGTTGGCGAAGATCAAGATGTTTGTGCTTGAGCTTGAGCCAACCAGGTAGGCGGCGGTGGGGCGGCTGGCCTGGGTACAGAGCCTTCTGCTCTGACAATAAAAATGTTTGCTTGCAAAGGTAACGAGGGCGTGATCAAACAAGAATTAATTGCCTAACCAGCACTACAATGAGCAATCATGATATTGCATTCATTTACCTACGTTGGTTGCAGTTTAGTTTAGTTTGTTCATTGAGCAGACAAACCCTCGAGGCGCTCTCAAATCTGATCAGCACACTTCCTGAAAAAAAAAACAGAAACAAGAACTGCAGAACATGTTTTGATTTTATGAAGGGCAGTTTTTTTTTTAACAGAACCACTGCCAAAAAACTCGTTTCCGCTTCTTATTATTTTGTTAAATAAGTCCTTCAGCCTCATAGCCAGGGTTGTCTTTCCAATTCGTAGTTTTGCCACAGGTACGTCCAAACGTTCTTTCCGATGGATGTCGCAGCTCGTGCTGTTGTCCTGATGTCCTTGAGTGGAAAAGGGCGCTTTTCTAGTACAACTTTTAAATGCAAATCCAGGAGTGCCAAAGATAAATCGTTCATTATGGCAGCAAGGGGCGGGGCGAGAGCTTAGGGGAACGGGCAGTGGTCATTTTGCTGACGCTTGTAACTGCACCTCTGCAAAATGTACTAACTGACATTTCTGGTTGGAGGTTTTTGAAAACTGTTGAGTTACCCAGAAGGTGTCCATCAGGGGTTAGCAAAGGGAACTTCCGCCTTCACTGCTCGAGGTAGCCTAGAAACAAGGCGCATCTCCCATAGACTTGTATGTTAAGAAGCGTTTTAGAGAAATGCGGTTGCCACTAGTAGTGATGCCATGATACAAGATATCATTGCTTAAAAGAGAAGCAAGAGGGTTCCGTTAGGTGACCATCCCATCATTTAAAACTATTCAGCCTCCTCCGATTTTTAAATACTTGCCAAATGAGCTTGATTATTTTATAGTAAGTAGTGTGATTTTTGCACAAAAAATCAAATTAGAAATTCGGCTGTGGTTCCCTGAGCTTGATCTTTCTGCATGGCAACAAAATTACTGAAGTTGCAGCAGAGCAAGCACTATCACGCAAAAGTTTAAAAAATATTTTAGGCTTCACCGGTGAAAGTAGAGAAATTTTTTTAACTGTCCCAACTTGGCGCATCCCTGTATTAGGGCAAAGGGCTTGGATATGGATATATCAGGATAGGATATTGGATACAGATTGGATATTGGATATGCAGCATCCTTACGCTGAAGTGAAGTGGACCACAACCGAAAATGGGCTAAACAGTACGTAAAAGTGATACGGCGTATTGACATTGACTACGACGTATTTTAAAAAAAGTGTTGTTTGCGCGAATTCGATACCGCCTGTAGCGTGGGGTAGCAATTATCGTATTGTGAGTACATCTGGGCACATAAACAGTTGACATCAGCTGGCGCATATGCTCCCATAACGTCATAGAGTATATCTATTGAAGATGTGATCTTTCTGAAAATTCGGGACTTCCATAGGTATGTGGAAATTTCACAGTGAATGATTACTAAATTCCATCAATTTGTATTTGTTCGCTGTTAAATTTCAAGCCCGATTTTTTTCATGTTTTATTCCTTTTAAAGCTCTGCAGAAGGGTTTGTATTAGTGCACAATAAGCAGTACTCTGTACATTTTTCAAATTTGGACTATTTCAACACGGAAGAAAAAAAATTAGAATTCGTGCGCTTCTGTTCACCACAACGTTCACTGTCCATGTCCTTGTCCATCCAGTGTCCGTCGTCCAGTTTGTCCTCGTCCCCGTCCATCCAGTGTCCGTCCTGTCCAGCCGTTCGTCCGTCCATGTCCGCGAATTAGTAATACCATCCGTAAAATGCAGCCAGTGCCTTTATTACCCTTTACCTTGCTGCCGCAACTATAGGAGGTATGAAGAAGATACTTTGTTGGGTGTGGCTTTTCCCAACACCTTGCACCACCAGTTGGTTATTTCACCACGCTTCCCCACCTTTAGGCTATTCGCACTACCTAGAGTGTTCTTTAAAGAATTAAAGTGAACTCGCATTCACCTTTATGTCTGTTGGCGCACATTTCTCCTAACGTATACGTTAGGACGTTAGGAGTTTTGTATGTGTACATGCAACCTCTACGTAGAGGTTATCCACCTAACCGTCGATTTGTTTTGGGCTTACTGACTAATGAATAAAGCAAGCAATGCTGTTTTGAATGGATTCTGTAACCGTCCAAAAAGTCAATGCATTTGTTGATTAGAAATTTTCCTAACAAATTATTGAGGATGAAAGTAGTGTTTTAAACTGAGATGGTCATTTGCAATCCACTGCGTTTCTGTAATATAATGCTTATCTAAAAAATCAATAACTCTCGATGACTAGGTGGAAAAACCACAAAGCTGCTCGAGGTTCCAGACAGCAGAGCATGGAAAATTATGCTGGCGTTACTAGGAAAGTGCACTCGCTTCCTGCCGGCACTGCATGACCGACGCATAGCAGGACTATGACAAAGGAAAAGAGTGGTTGACAACTTGACACCCGTTGTTCAACCAGTTTAACTTTAATCATAACTCTGGCTACGTATATTTGTGAATATTATACTGGTAAGTGTCAGGAAACGGTATGTAAATCGTATTTTTTCGGCCGCTCTGGATTAGCCTAATGTCAGCTTTATCTTACACAGTGCTGTGCGCGGTCAGCGCTATAAATGGCATCTATGCACGGTAGTGCTTCATGCTGAAGGAGAGCTGAAGTGTCGGATTTGATAAAACCGATGGCGTTTCTGAAAAGGACACCGACAGATCAGATATTTAGGTTTTCCCGCCATAGGCTAAAATAGTGTGTAGTGATACACATTTCGTGTACTGATAAACGTGTAGTGTGTAGTTTTAGTTGTCCAAGCGTGTAAGATTAAAAAAGTTGAAAACCGTTAAAAAAATTAGAGGGGGGTCTCTTGGAAATAAAAAAATAATAATTCTACTATTTTTTATAGAATTTCTAGCAATTCTCACAAGAAAAACGTGCGTCGGCTTCGCGCTTCGCGCGAAACCCGCCTCCATCTGCAATTTTACTTCGATCTTAACATTTTATTTCGACCTTAAACTTTAGTCAGCTCAAATAATTTGGTGATAAACGCACTAATCTGCTATTTTTAATCAAAACTTCCGCAATTTCCGCAGTAAAAATGGTCTCTGGTTTCGCGCTTCGCGCGGAAGTGGACATTCGCCTTAATTTTTAACACTTAATTCGCATCATGCGTGCGCTGGTTTTGCCTTTTCTTTAAAAAAATGAAAAGATTTTTATTGCTTTTGTTGAAATTTATTGCAGTCACTCCCCCCTGGGGCACCCCCCAGGGGCGCCCAGGGGGAGTGTGTAGTGATAGAATTTGGATATTTTAGCCTCTGAGTTTTCCGTCAGAGACAAAGCTGCGCGGTGCGGAAAGTCGCACCACTTCGATGTTTTGCACCGGCGGTGCCTAAAACTCGAAGTGGTACATTTTAAGAGTTTTCACAAATCTGTTGGGTTATCGCAACGTTTATGAACAGTAACCTTTATGAGCAGTTGTCAACTTGTCAGATACAGAATACGTGATGCAAGCCATCGCTTTGATAAATTATACAACATCTGACAACAATAAACACCAGGTCTTGCTTCCTAGGTTCGCATACCGGTATACCAGGAAGCAATGGAGATATTTGTTCCATGAATACAAAAATCAATTACGCTGTTACTTATTACAGGATGTAGAACAGTAACGGCCTAAGGTTACTGCGTAACCTGTGCGATTATTGGCAGCGTGTTAGCCATTGGTCACTTCATGGGGAAGCGGGATGTAACACCGCTCCGAAGGAGACCATATAAATAGCTGTCCCGGGAAGCTTTATCCTCAACAGCTCTTCTTAGTTTTAGTTTTCGCTGCGAAGGTTCAACTAGTCTTTGGACATTTGATACCGCAGCGAATCGTGTTAGCTTTATGATCTTCCCACCGTCCCTCCCTTACCAGATTTAATTGAGAGGAGGTTTTCGGTTGCACCCTCAGTACAACCGTCCTGTTTTTGTTTCGTTTTTTGTTGGTATTTTATATGCTCAGAAATAGATACCGAACGAGAGAAAAAACTGTTGTTGTTTGCTGCGTACGCGATACAATAATTGTGTATATAAATCTGATTGTACGTATATGAGAATACAGACACTGTAGTTAGGTGACTGCATTCTTTTCATGACTGTGCTTACATGACTGTGATAATTTTGAAGGCATAAATTTAATCGGGCTCAGAGATCACGTTACGGGGTCAATCGAGTCATACCGTACATTTGTTTATCATAAATTTCATCTCGCTCCACTCCTTGCGTTTGTGCAATGTACATACTTCAATACCAAGCCCGAATTCTGAACAGACGTGCGTAGTGCAGCCGGCCGTTGAATAAAGTATGACGAAGCGGGGATTGTCTTTCGATCGCCAGTTAGCCGACTTCGGTATTTCAATAAAAAGCACTCCAGATCGTTTTTATTCTACGGTGTATGGTCAAAGATTGTAATTACATTATACGCACTTTAACAGTGTCCGTTGTTCCTCAAAATGGCTGACAAAGAATGGCGCTCAGAAGTTGTCAAAAAACTGAAAGCCATTGTAACCGATCCTAATGAATATGCAGAAATTGCTCGCTTTCTGGCCGCAAAAGAGGATAAAATGAATGGCTATCAGAATTCCGGAATTTGGAAATCTCTGTACGACGTTGTGGACTCAGACGAGGCAAGTTGCCAGACTGGCTTGTCAGGAACACAGATTTTAACAAGGACACGCAATTTTAACAATTTAAAATGCGCTGCACACTAGGAAGCTATAAGTTCGAAGTTCTAAACGTTTCCTTTGAGTTTATGGGTACAGTAGTTATCAATTTGCCATCCGTAACACCTGCCATACGCTACCAAATCCTGACAGAAGCGGATTTTACGAAACGGCTGGGTATCGTCGTTTCGTGTTGCATTATAATAAATATAATAGTTAGTTACGTTGCATACAGTTGAAATCTACCTATCGTACATCTTCATATAGTGCTTCCTCGCCATTCTGCGGATTATCCAGTCGGAAACGGAAAGCAAGAGCCCAAGGAGTGTCGATCACTCGTTGATTACACCTGACGTGCGTCATAAGTGGGGCCATCCGGATATCACTGACCTTGCCGTGTGCGGCGCCATGGGCGGCGCCAGTGGCTTAGCAGCCTTTCCTGCCACACAGGCCAGCATTTTGCCGGTAGTGCAGATCCTAGTTAGCCCGGCGCTGATGCCCATTGTCCAGCAGGCAGCAGACGTGGTCAAAGCAATGGGCCGGAGAGCTCCAGTGGCGCTTGCTGCGGTCTACCTTTCTTGGGAGGCGATGAGGACCATCTCGCACTGGTGGAACGGTAAGATCAGCGGTCGTCGCGTCGCTAAAACACTGGTCGATCAGGGCGTGACGGTAGCTGCAGGATGTGGTGCAGCCGTGGCCGGAGCAGCGTTAGGCGGTCTGTTAGGTCCAGTGGGAGCGCTTGCCGGTGGGGTTATAGGGAGTCTGGTGGGCGGCAGCACGGCGGCGTTCTTAGTGGATTGGTTGACACAGAATCTGTTCGATATTCCCAAGGACGAAGCAGTGGAGAACGCGTACTCTTTCTTAGGCTGTACCCGGAGTTCTACTAATAAAGAGATCAACGACAAGTATCTTGCTGCCTGTCGAAAGCACCATCCGGATAAGGGCGGAGACGTTGAAATGTTTCAAAAGGTGCAGCAGTGCATGGGTGTTACCAAAGTGGCCAGAGGGAACAGTACGGTGCGACGGACGAAGTACGATATCTGGAATTCTGACTTTCAGCCTTCAGCGCCTGCATTACGACCGCCTGGTTCCATAGTGCAATTAATCTATTTAACTAACAACAGAAGCTGGTTTTGTCCTACACTCGATACCCCATATTAACGAGCGATTCTGTTCAACCCCGGAGTTACAATACAAGTTATAAATAATAATAAAAGAAACATCACGAAGTTCGCGACTTCGCGTCGGTGGCCTGGGGTCGCTTCCAAGGTGGCTCATTCCAAGCGCAAAGTGTGGAATACGTATATCATATCCATGTACTCTGTAGAAGACGTTTTGGATGTGCGGTCGTCCTCATTAACTTGCCACGCCGGATAAGGGATCCGGCGCCGGATAAGGGATCCGGCTTGCCTCATCCGGATAAGGGCGGAGACGTTGAAATGTTTCAAAAGGTGCAGCAGTGCATGGGTGTTACCAAAGTGGCCAGAGGGGAACAGTACGGTGCGACGGACGAAGTACGATATCTGGAATTCTGACTTTCAGCCTTCAGCGCCTGCATTACGACCGCCTGGTTCCATAGTGCAATTAATCTATTTAACTAACAACAGAAGCTGGTTTTGTCCTACACTCGATACCCCATATTAACGAGCGATTCTGTTCAACCCCGGAGTTACAATACAAGTTATAAATAATAATAAAAGAAACATCACGAAGTTCGCGACTTCGCGTCGGTGGCCTGGGGTCGCTTCCAAGGTGGCTCATTCCAAGCGCAAAGTGTGGAATACGTATATCATATCCATGTACTCTGTAGAAGACGTTTTGGATGTGCGGTCGTCCTCATTAACTTGCCACGCTGATGTTATGAAGCGGAAATGCTTATCGGATTATTCCTTTTTATTAATGCTCCGACCATACGGTGCTGTTAATACATTGGCCAGGGCTTATTAGCTTATTACACGGCACGTTCGTTTGTCTTTGCGTTTAGCTAATAAATAGCTCCGAAGAACTTTCATAGGCGTATCATAAGACATAATATATGTAAATTCAGGACCGAGTCTACACAGGCCTAGGAGCTCAAAAAGTCGTGTGACGGTAGATGAGACACGCTGTCTTTGAAGGTTCTGGCGAGTTTATTTGAAATTAGCGAGTTATTACTAATGCAACGTTATCTTAACTGCAACGGGTAAAATTAAAAACTAAAGGTAACAAAACTGTACTTGTTAAAAAAACATAAAATAAACAGTGCAGCGATAAAAATACAAAAGTTTGAATTCGGCTAGTCGTTCCATAGGCCATAATAATCGTATGATACATTCAGCGTACGTAATAATATTGTAATACTCTACTGTACGTAATAATATTGTAATAATGATAATAATATTGTAATTGTAATAATAGCGTACGTAATAATATTGTAATAATTGTCCAGAGGCCATAATAATCGTATGATACGATGAGTACTTAATCTACCATCATAGTATCTCTAAATGATCAAGATCCATGCTATTTTTGTTTACTTCCTAATTATGAGTGACCAGATCACTTGGTTCAGCTCAGACACCGCAGCCGGCTGCCGGATATGCATTAAAGTCACACGTACAAGTTACCCTCAGTAATTGTACTTAACGGCGTTAACGCCGAGAGCAAAAGTGACTTGGTACGAGTAAATGGTACCAGAATTCTTCTACTTGAACAGGGACTCGATGAGTCAACGGGAGTCGATGACCAACGGAGCACTTCAGTTACGACCGTTGGGACATCGTCGTCTTTTGAGTATCGCGCCAGATTTAACCATATGTACTGCCGTAAAGTCACAAATCTGGCGGGCGACGACAGTGGTACAAGGAAACGGTTGAAGTATAATGGAGTTCTCCACTAATTATCCTAGTCTTGTACATGACGTATAATTCCAGGGCGTAATTCCTCATTTTTACGGGTACTTCCTTAAACCGTCCCTTCACTTCTTTGAACAGTTTTTACTTCCTTGTATAAAGTCATTTCCCACTTCCGTAAAGGACAGACAGACAGACAGACAATTTTTAATTTCGTCTGAACAGAGGACCTTCGATGCGCTCCGGTTGATAATGGTAGTAAGCTGCGTAGAATAAATATAATTTTATTCAACACATTTCAGCATAGGCCACAAGTACACTCCCGAAGGAGAATAAACGTTGCAATTTTCTCCTGCGGCGTTTGGATTGTGCATACTGCTCTCTACCGCAGAAAGTCTACAATGAATATTATTATTATATTGTTTTCTTCTTCTGTGTGCATTGTCATTAACCTGTATTTTGACATTTTATCTTTCGGTGCGCGAGCGCATAACAGCGTTGTCGGTATATTATAACAACCGATAACAGCAGTAACGAGTTGAAGTTTTCGTGCGATGGCCGCGTGCGACTCGTGCGATGAGACGAGTAGCTGCGTCACTGCAACAGTTGGCAGCACAACAACTGCAGTTAATCAACAGAAATTATAACGTATAGGACGCGAGTAACAGTATAAAATAATAAGCAGTTTCAAAGTTATTATAGTGGAATGAGGCAATTAGGAGCATATAAAAACATGGTTAGATAAGAAACAGCCAGCTCGGGCGATGCTCGGTAATTAGCGCAAATATAGCTTCGCAAATATAGCAATCTGATTCCTGTACCTGCTGCCTGAGAAGATTCTGATGCAGCATTGATCTTCACTGCGGCGGGAAAAATTTAGATTTCAAGACGGTACTACTGTAGACTGTAGTTATAAAATTATTAACATAATGTAAACACTGCATCGCTAAAAATGCTAAATGTCAGAAATCGGCTAGCCGGTCCGCGGATCGAATAATATGTGTTATGATACTGATTAAAATCTGCAAACTGACGTGTACGGGAGTACTAGCCCGTCCAGATCGGTACTACTTTACTACTTCTACACCAAGGCTTAGGCTTAGACCTTACTACAACGACTACTTGAGTCATGACCCCGAGTTCGAGTCGACGCTTCTGAGAAATGTCCAGCAGAGAACTTTGACCGCGACTTGCCATTTCGACGTGACCGCGTGTCCATGACGTAGCTTTACCTATTGTTCTGTTGTACTAGCTGACCTCTTGTTCTGATTAGTTAATGCTGTGTTGATGCTGTCTTTGATTAGTCCACGTGTCAGTGATCGTAGAGTATTGGCTAGATTCTAAATCCCTATTGTTCTCAGAACCGTACCTGCGCGTACGAAGAGTCGCACCTGCGCGTGCCCAAGACTATATAAGGCGTTCGTCGCCCACACAAATGTTAAGAGTTTTCTTCCAACAAAGTAGTGACTTGTTCACGACCTGATTAACTTCAGACTTTGCCCTGGGATACTCTTTCTCAAGTGAGGATACTCGCTAACTGACCTCTTAGTGACCTTTCACTTATGTCAGGGGTTCTCCCTCTACTTCGTCGACGTGCATTATCATTATCGGATAGTCTCGTGGCGTAATAGGTTACCCACTAGCTCCCACTCGCATCCCGTGACCTTTGGTCTCTTCTCATTCTTCGATCTTCATGCCCTTTATCGCAAGGTTGATGGATAGTTTTTCATACGCTTCGGCTACCATCTAGCGTAGGACAGGTAACGTATAACTTCTTGTATCATACTCCTTCGTGTCTTTCAGCAGGGATTCCGGGTTCCAGTCTTCCTTCTTCGCACATCATCAAGCCTAATTCTACCATCTAGGATCTTCCTTCCATAAATTACATAATAAGTTGAGATCTCAAGAGTAGCTCTACTGACTTTGTCGTGGTCAGGGAAGTGGATACAACGAGACTGACAACGTCTTTCGTTTATTTGCACGACAAAACAGTATGCAACTTACAACTACTTACATGCATCCAGTGCGCATCAATCGCCAGCACTGGGTCCCAACAGGGAAGCGCTTACTTGCGCCAAAAGCGTTACAACGAGGCTATATGTTTTCGGTAAGAGTAAATCAGCTATAACATTAAAAAAACTGATAAGAAAACCGCATGTGCCGTAAAAATACTTCAAATGGCGTGGAGAAAATATTTCAAATCTTGATGTATATAGTAAAAAAAACTGGCGGAAACTGCAAGCCTGTGAATGGTGCATGCGTGTATCTAATCAGACACATTTTATTCCCGGTTTTTGTCCGAACAAAACTGTGCGGTACTGCATACATAAACCTTCAATTTCCTTTCATAATCTTCCAAAATCTGCTCAATTTCTGCACACGGTGGAAAGGAGCACTGCGGCCATATGTACTTCTATCCGGAAATACCAGTAGTGCAGAACAATCCCTTCAGACCCAAAAGTATAGCAGAGCATTTGATGGAGGTAAAGGCGTTGACACACTCCACAATCAATATGCATTCAAAATTTGTGATTGCCGAATCGAACACGTTCAGTCCACTGGTGTATTTATTACCGCAGTGGATGACCACTGGCGTGGTCACCCATGCCATTTGACAAGCCGACGACATTATCTGTCCTCCTCGAACAATCCCATACAAAAATTCACACTGTCTGCACAGTGTGAATTTGGTCCACGCGGTCAAATGCGGGGAAGCTTCCAGCCGATGTGAATCAACGCACAAGTGTTTCACGCGACCGAAGAGCTGCGCGTTTATTTCCGCCAGCATACTGATGATGAAAAAACTGATCGATGGGAGCAACGCCCATCCCAGGAATACCATACAATCTGAAGGGTTCTTCCTCGGGCTTTACCTGAACAAATTTAGTTTATAAGGTTATTTAAAAAACCACAACACAAACTTATCTGAAGCAGGCCCTGAAAAACATAAGAAAACAATAGAAACATGAGCAAATTAAAAACCGAAAAAAAATTTAAAGAAACCTAAAAAGACCTAAAAATAACTAAGAAACCAACGAAAATCTAAGAAAAAATCTAAGAAAACCGAAGATAGTCTAAGAAGAAATTAGTAAACCTAAACTTACGTAGAATTAGCATCGTATGTATTGTACATCTAATAAAAAACAGCCCACGCCAGGTATGTTGATTGCTCGCCGAACCTACCATATCCAGCAATAAATAATCATCGGCGCTCAGGGTGGAAGTTGCAGTGAACAGCCAGACTCTAGCTGCAAAGAGGATTATGTTGGCGACAGTGAAGCAGTTAATGAATATTGCATCCCGGAGGATTTCTTGGTAAGTAGACCATCATACTGCACTTTCTCCTGACCGAACATGCGAATCATAACGTCCTGTTCTTGTTCTCGATCACCAGTCGGAGATGCTGCGGTGTCGAACTCTTATTGCATCGCGTAAGTTTAACAGATGGCAATAAAATAAAATTAATCCTACTCGTTCAAAGCCAGCGGCTTGTGTGCAAACCGCGTCAAGGGCATGGCACAATTCTTCTGATTCTCGGTGACATTTAAAACTGCCCAGAAAACATTGCTCTGCCAGTGGATTTCAGTACCGAAACGCTGCAATAAATACTTTATAATGCGTGTTTCTCCCGACTGCAGTGTCATCTGCTTTACGAGATCATCCGGAAGTTCAAGCGTGCAATTACGTGCAATCCTATATAATAAAAGAATAAGAGGAGGTGTGGTCAGCGTGTCTGCGCATCCATCCCGAACGACACACTGGATAAATCTTTAAGCTCTGTATATTAATCGATAGCCCTAATTAGATAGGTTTTTACAGAATTTAGTTCGATTTAGGAAAACGAAAACGTTCTAAAGAAAAGACTGGGAAACTTTACTATACAAAGTCTACGAAACAATGCAACAGCCAATCAGGTAAATCGGAAACAATTCCGATACCAGTTGGTGGCCAAGTAACTGCCTCAGGAGCGGTATGCTTAATTTTAACGTGTCACCCGTCCATGGGATAGGATATTTACTGTTGAACCACAAGTACTGTATTGGCTGGCAGGCTGTTACATAAGAAAGCGGCTGTCAGCGTCCTGTGAGCGTGAACGAAG